GATCCGGCCACTGCACTCCAGCCTGGGCGACAGAGCGAGACTCCGTCTCAAAAAAAAAAAAAAAAACTACCGTCAGGCTATGTGTATAAGGTGTATATGAAACAAAATTGAATTTCATGTTTAGACTTGTATCTCACCTCCAAGATATCTCATTATGTACATGCAAATATTCCAAAATCTGAAAACTGAAATCCAAAACATTTCTGGTTCCAGGCTTTGTTTTTTTTTAAGACGGAGTTTTGCTCTTGTTGCCCAGGCTGGAGTGCAATGGCACAATCTCCGCTCACTGCGACCTCTGCCTCCCGAGTTCAAATGATTCTCCAGCCTCAGCCTCCTGAGTAGCTGGGATTACAGACATCCACCACCATGCCCAGCTAATTTTGTATATTTTTAGCAGAGACAAGGTTTCTCCGTGTTGGTCAGGCTGGTCTCAAACTCCAGACCTCAGGTGATCTGCCCACCTCTGCTGCCCAAAGTGCTGGGATTAGCCATGCCTTTTTTTTTTTTTGAGAGAGTCCTGCTCTGTCACCCAGGCTGGAGTGCAGTGGCTCAATCTCGGTGGTTCCATCTCGGCTCACTGCCCTCCACCTCCCAGGTTCAAGTGATTGTCCTGCCTCAGCCTCCGGAGTAGCTGGGATTACAGGCCTGTGCCAACATGCCTGGCTAATTTTTGTATTTTTATTAGAGACGGGGTTTCACCATGTTGGCCAGGCTCCTGACCTCAGATGACCCACCTGCCTCAGCCTCCCAAAGTGCTGGGATTGCAGGTGTGAGCCACGGTGCCCAGCCCCAAGCATTTTGGATAATGATGCTCAACCTGTATTGGATCCCTGTGCAGATAAATAAAAGGGAGTGTGTGTTCCGAGTTGCCTTGGGGGTCACCAACTTGAAATATGTGAAGTCTGTAGGGAACAGTCATCCCTGCAGCATCCACAGGGGTTAGCTCCCAAATACTGGACAGATGGTGACTTTAGGTGTGTGAACAAACTGGGTGTGTTACATCCAACTCCTGCCATGAGGGCTCTTGTCTCTCTGGGAGGAACTGTGGTTGAAGTACAGGCCACAATTTGTCAAATCCTCAGCATTTACTAATGCCATATAGGTGACCACAAGCAAAAAACATGCAGTTTTATCCCTTCCTTTTTTTTTGAGACGGAGTCTCGCTGTGTTGCCCAGGCTGGAGTGCAGTGGCACGATCTTGACTCACTGCAACTTCCGCCTCCTGGGTTCAGCGATTCTCCTGCCTCAGCCTTCTGAGTAGCGAGGACTACAGGTGCATGCCACCAGGCCTGGCTAATTTTTGTATTTTTAGTAGAGACGGGGTTTCATCATGCTGGCCAGGCTGGTCTTGAACGCCTGACCTTGTGATCCTCCCGCCTCGGCCTCCCAACGTGCTGGGATTACAGGCGTGAGCCACCGCGCCTGGCCTTATCCCTTTCTTCTTTTCTGATGATACAACACAACATGCCAATATATGTCAGATTGCAACAAGAAATTTTCCTGGGCTGGGCGCAGTGGCTCACACCTGTAATCCCAGCATTTTGGGAGGCTGAGGCGGGCGGATCATTTGAGCCCACGAGTGCTCAGCCTGGGCAGCAGAGTGAGACCCTCATCTTTGTTCCCTGGGTAATTTGGGGGATGAACTGACCAGTGTTGTCATCCGGCACAATCTGCCTTGTAAATTCTTTCTCCAAAGAGGGTCACAGTGCGGAGTCTGCATGAGAACTCTGCTTAGGTCCCTGCACTGAAATCTGTCATGTTGCACACTTTGCCATGACCTGAGGCCAAAAAACAAACACCGTCGAGCTGGCAAAGGCCTTTAATAGAAACGAGATGAGGGCAGGCCGCCCCTCCCCGGGGATGCCTCCACCTCGCAGCCCCCCGCCCCGCTAGCGCAGGAAGTTCCTGGGGTACAGCTGGAAGAGCTTGCCCTCCTGTGTGGGCTCGAAGCCGTACTTTTCCAGGTTGTCGGGGTCGAAGGTACCGTCTTTGAAGTCCTGTACGATGAGAGGCGCCACAGCTTCGCTGAACAGCTGCGCGGCCGTCAGGGGCGTCTCCTCGCCCTCAGGGGCGCGGTAGTTCACGTAGGGCTTGAGCTTGAAGCCGGTCAGATCCGGGACGACGAACTCCGGGACCATCTCCTTGATCTGCACGAATCTCCGGCCCGAGGTGAGGAAGCCGATGCCCTTGGCGCCCCGGCCCTTGCGGCCCCTGAAGCTGCGCGGGCCCCGCTTGCTCGTCCACTGGCT